TTTTATTTTAAAGAAAGTTGCATTAAAGATAAACTACTAAATTTGATGTTAGTCTTGGGTCAAGCAACAATGTAGAGATGGAAAATAGTGTAGTAATTCTGGAGATAACAGGTGAAATTGACAAGATTTGATGCTAAGTTGGATGTAGAAGTTTAGAAAGAGTAATTCAAAATTCTAAATTCCTGGCTAGTTCATGGGGCATGATATGGGCTACAGACATGTCAAAGGAGCTTAGGAATAGGTGGGAAAGACTTTTAGCTCAATTGTAGGACACAGAAAAATTTAAGTGATTCGAATTGGTGATGAGATATGTAAGTGCAGATGTCATGTGGACAATTGACTATGCTCATGGCGTTCAGAAAGGTACTTTCTGGTTCTCCACCTTCTGATTTCATATTCACTTACTTTATACACATTCTCCCAGTGTCTACTTTATAAACATAGTATCTAACTAAGTGTAAGTTTCCATTTGATTGCACATATCACTGCTAGGAGAGATGTTCTTGGTAGGTGGTACACAGATAGCACCCGGGGTTGTTTTTACTGATGAATGAATCAGGATAGCAGGAGAGGGAAGGTGGCAAAGATATTATTTCTTTGAAAAAATAAAAATGCAGTGTGTTAAAAAGATGTAGAAAAATTGTTGCCCCCAAGGCATTAAGAATCCAGAGCCTCAAAGAGAACTTCATGCAACGGGGGAGCGAGCACCATCCTTAGATAGCATGGTTGAAGAGTATTCAAATAACTTGGGATTATTCTTCTGTTTTAGGACAAAACAATGAAATATTTTCCTTCTTTAGAAAGAAACATAGGCATGCTGAGGATATAAGAAAATCAACGGGAAAAGAAAGACAGATAGTTCTTTCAAGCAGTTGGGTTATGAATAAGGAAGGATAAATTTGAGTCCTTTGTAGGAAAATGGATGCATCTTGAGACAATAATACCAAGTGAAATAAATGTTAACTATTGGCATGGCTTCTCTTATAAGTAAATCCCTACATATAAATAATTTGAAGAGTAAAATAGAAGAGAAAGTAAAGGAAGCAAGAAAGTAGACTTTATGGAGATGGGAAGGAGATGTGTGGATGGACGGAGAGAGGGCACAGGAAGGGGGAAGTAAAATGATTATGAATATATATATATATATATACATATATATATATATATATCCCAAGATGAATATAGTTATTATACATTGCAAACATATAGCAGTGGGGGAAAATAAATTTGCCTGTGAAATTCAGAAGAGAAGTAGACCTGTAAATTGCCTATGATAGATCGCCTGGTTATAGGAAAGAATCTAAGAATCTGCTCCTCCCTGGAGATGGGAGAGACATAACAATGTTTGTGTTGACAAAGGGAGGAAGGAAGGTGGGAGACCCTACAGACCAGAGAAGGAAGGGCCACGAGACCACTAAAGGGTCTTGCACAAGTGAAAGGTGTCTCGAGTGTGGGTGGACAGATTCAAAGGAAGATGCCCAGAGGGTTATCAGTCCAGGAAGGGGACGTGAAGTCCTGCGCTGTCCTATGTCTCTAGGAAATGAGAAAAAGGGCATCAGTTTGGAATAGAAGAAGCAAGTTTGACATGGGGGAAAAGTGGAGAAAGTTCAAAGTAGTCTTTGTAGGTAGGAGGAAGAACCAAAATGAAAATTTGGGGGCTGAGGTGAGGACTGTTGAGGTTGGGGACCGTTTGTCTAGTTAGTGCCCCTACCAAGAGTGTTATCCTTCCCTAGCAGAACGTAACAGGTCAGCAGGAGTGGCAGGAGTTGATATTATATAAACTAATACTAATATACTGATGGCAAGGCAGTGTGTGTGTGTGTGTGTGTGTGTGTGTGTGTGTGTAATACTAAAATTGGAACCCGGGGCCTTCATACAGAAGTACAATCCTACTAGAGTGTCTCATTAAGTGGCTGTTGCCCAATTTGACCCTGAATTTGTGATCTTCCTGCCTCAGCCTCCCAGAGCATTTGGATTAGAGGAAGGATTAAAGGAGCAATGTGTAATCCCATACCTGGCTACTAAGCAACTTTGAATTTTGTTGTTGTTGTTATTTTTAGCAATGAAGAAAGACTTTCTCTGAACCAGTGTGTTTCTGTGTTCTCTAGACTGCAGTGCCCTCACGTGGCTCATGTACATTATTCTCTTATCAAGGTTTTCATTTGGATGTGTTTTATCTACGGTAATCAAGGGCTTTAGGATCAAGGGCCTTATAACAGTGTTACTAAAACAAAAACTCAAGTATTGCTTTCACTAGTTTGCCCAGATATTTCCTTGCAAATTAGTACAACACTATTTACTCACTGGATGACTGAATAGCATTTAAAATCAAATTAATATTTTATAATATGGAATTTATGTAATGACATATAAAAAATAAAAAATGAAGACTATCAATAGTATTTATTCCCTCTGAGATTTTTATAATCGGTCTAAACTCACCTTTTAAAAGGGTGCTGTTGTTTTATATCATTGAGAATAAATCCTTAGTGTGTTTTCATGTTAATTGTAAAAGCCATTTCAACTAACAGCTGAATATTTTCCTAAGTGAGTTTTGTGTCTGCTTTTGTTTTACTATTTTGCTTTTACAATATAAAATAGTGAAGAGTATTTGTTATACCTCCAAGGACAAAGAAGGATAGGGTAAGAAAAATGATATATATGTGATAAGCAATTTTTTTATATTATTTAGAAAGCCATAAAACCCATTTGTAGAGCACTTACTATGTGACAGGCCATTACATTGTAGGAAGTTTTACATATTTTCACTATTTAATCCACAGACAAATTTTGTGGAATGATTTTTTTTTCTTACTTTCATTGCCAAGGCAGGCTAATCTCAGGGAATTTAATAAATAACTTTATGACGTGGTCTTTGTTACAAACCCAGTGAGGGCCAGCACGGACACCAACCATCTCTCACACTTCTGAATTTTAGAAGTAATTACAGTATAATATACACTTCATTAATGAAGGACACTATCATAAGACATTCTTCTGAGTGACCCTTATGAATTCATGATGCATTTAATTAATTACTTGAATGCTTTTGCTGGCTTTTTTGCCATTATTAATTATGTGCTGAATTTGCCATTCTATTGTTTGTTTGAGCCTGTCACTAAGAAAATTTAGATTGATAAATTACTCACCAATGACTTCATTTATCTGTTTTTAATTGCAACTATCTAAATGGCTTCAAAATAGCTGGTGAATTGGCCTAAAGAAATGTTCTAGGTGTGGTGTGGTGTAGCTGAATTTATGAAATGGAGAAAAAAGATTCAATGGTAGAATAATACGTAGCATTAAAATAATTAGCTTGCAAATTCTACCACTTGATGGTGATGAAGGTGTGGCAGTGCATGGAAGTGAGATGCTTTTTTCCTTTTGAGCTTTGTCTTCCTTGACGAATCTTTTCACTTTATTCAATGTGCTCATTATGTGCACGATTCTCACCAACTGTGTGTTTATGACCATGAGCAACCCTCCAGACTGGACAAAGAATGTAGAGTAAGTAGAAAAATTTAAAATATCTTCCACCTTTGACTATCCCTTCCATTTCAAATTGTGTCTCTTACATCTTGAGGCCTTTTCTGTTTCCTTGCCGAAGCATGGCAGCTATTATAAATTAGGTACTAATTCAGATTTATTCCAATGGCTAATTTCTTTCAGTACATAACTTGCAGCGGCTTCACTTGTTTTGTTTCCCAAATTACGGCAGGGATTTGACAGCCAGTGTCTGTGGCCCTTTATTTTCCTCATGTGTCTTATATTCTTTTGAGATGACCAGTGCTTCCTAAACAGACAAAAATCATATTTAATGTGAACATTCTTTTTCCATTAACTATCACAGTTCTATGCTTTTGGTAGTATACATTTCAGGGCCGTTAGTGGTATAGACCTATAAAACACAAATGAATCATTCCTTTTGAGATTTATGCCCATTTCTTTAAATCAGGCTGAAATCCAGAGTATTTAAATAGTACAGTGTTAGATTATTTAGCTTGATGAGAATGTCTTTTAAAATTAAATGGTACTTCTATGCAGTAAGCCCTGCCTGGCCTGTATATTATGAGGAGAACAGATAAATATATTTTTAATGTGAGCTTGGCTATTTTCTCTTAGGTACACCTTTACAGGAATTTATACTTTTGAATCACTTATTAAAATACTTGCAAGGGGTTTTTGTTTAGAAGATTTCACATTTCTACGGGATCCTTGGAATTGGTTGGATTTCACAGTCATTACTTTTGCGTAAGTACCTTCATACATTTTCCATCCTGGAGAGTAAATTACTGCAGGAAGTCTATTCTATATTTCTCTTTGATGGCTTCCCTTTGTAGATCCATCATTTTTTCTTAGAAATCATGTGAATTCAGAGTATTTTCCTTCTAATGAAATCATTCAGTTTGGAGAAATTAGGAACTATCATAATAAATTATATGGCTTTGATTTCAATTAGCACTCTAAAGTAATAGTTTCCCAAGTAACAGATTATAATCAATAATGACGCCATTTTTCTCTTAATTGGGAAATTTGATGGCAACAGTCACTGAAGTTGAAAAGGTCTTGGTTAAAGACCAACATGAACTTAGATTTCCCTAAATTCTGAATAACTCTGGTTTAATTCTACAGGTATGTAACAGAATTTGTAAACCTAGGCAATGTTTCAGCTCTTCGAACTTTCAGAGTATTGAGAGCTTTGAAAACTATTTCTGTAATTCCAGGTAAGAAGAAAGTGGTATAAGGTGGTAGGCTCCTTATATCTCCAATTGTTTCTTGTGTGTTATTGTGTTTGTGTGTGAACTCCCCATTACAGATATGTGACAGAGTTTGTGGACCTGGGCAATGTCTCAGCGTTGAGAACATTCAGAGTTCTCCGAGCATTGAAAACTATTTCAGTCATTCCAGGTGAGAGCTAGGTTAAACACCGAGGCTGATTTTAGTTGAATCGACGCTACAATCCCAGCTTTCATGCAGAGGGCTTATTGCTTGTCGCATATTGCAAATAACTGTATAAAGCAAGAATCGGTGCATCAGATTTTGGATGGATTTGATTCTTTGCTTTTTACTAGTTGCTTTCTTTATAACCATTCTAAATCAGCCTTTGAGTTTAACAAGTGTTGCATGAGACATTTGCAGTAACAGGCTACCTGGTTTGCATCCTGTAACATCAAGCTTTCTGCATAGAAGCTAAACTATAAGACATTGAACAAATAAATTGGAGCATTTAGGCCCAAACCTGGCAGTGTTTCTAACCACAGATATATGAAAGAGCCAGGGATAGCATGAGTGCTGCATGGGGCTCAGTTTTCAGATGTCTTCCTTTTTTGAAACCCATACTCAAACTTCAGGATCCATCAACTAATAAACTCCTAATTCAATGACATGAAGATTTCTCCCAGATAGACTTTTCTAAAACCAATAAAGGGTTAGAGAGTAAGACATCTGCAAATAAAAGCAAAATATTTACACAAGGTTGATGTTTAAGCATGAATAACAAAATCATTTCTTTTGCTCTGAGGGGTGTTTGGAAACACATTTGAGTCGTTTCCATTCACAGTTTTATGATGAACATACAAGTTCTGCTTTCATTCATTTTCACCAGCTAGCAGGCTTTTCATAAAAATGTGATTCAGTCACAAACATTAAACTAATAATGTTGGCATTCTGCATGATATTTTTATTCTCCAGGACAAGCTCATGATACTTTTGTCAGTAAGTAGCCATTGAGCAGTAGGTTAAAATTCTTTCCTCTGATTTTATTTGCAGGCCTGAAGACCATCGTGGGGGCGCTGATCCAGTCTGTGAAGAAGCTGTCCGATGTCATGATCCTGACCGTGTTCTGTCTGAGCGTGTTTGCACTCATAGGCCTGCAGCTCTTCATGGGCAACCTGAGGAATAAATGTTTGCAGTGGCCCCCAGACAATTCTTCCTTTGAAATAAATATCACCTCCTTCTTTAATAACTCATTGGATGGGAATGGTACTGCTTTCAATAGAACAGTGAGCATGTTTAACTGGGATGATTACATTGAAGATAAAAGTAAGATATACTTTTTAACCTTATAGCTGTTTACTTGTTCAATATTAATAACTCTAGGGAGGTGAAAATGATCTCAATTACTACACAAGCCACATGACTTGGATTAATCTAAGATCATAGTATTTGTAGGAAGGAATCAAATACTACCTCACCTCTTTATTCTTAAGTCTCAGTTGACATAGTCAAAATTAACACTGGAGAACATGCTACCTTTTCCTACACAGAATCCAAAAACAATTCTGTAATATGCTGAATAAGTATTTATTGGTAAGCACTTGCCAGAATTTAAGTCATTTAACTAAATCAGTAGTTTGAACCACTTAGTAGTTTGAATGTGCTGTGATGAAATATATTATTAAGAAGACTGAAGAAAACCACTTGGTTGACTCTTGAGTGTATGTAATTTTGTGGAAATGGCAACCATTTACTAAGATGAAATCAGAGCTTGGGAACTCATCTAAAAGTTAAGCAAGGTTGGCTCATCCATTCACTTACTAATATTCTAACATATTTCTTTGGTTTCAGTCTTTGTGTTATAGGTATTTGTCAGAGTAATTTTATTTTATTTTAGGCATTGACCTCAAAATAGTCTTATGATACCATATCATTCAGAATTATTTCTTATCCCTGAGGCCAGTCCCTGTCACTTGGTAGCCTGAATGGCCTTGCTTCCCATGTACTATTAGAGAAGTTTATTACCCAAGTTCTACTGGTGTCTCCAGAATATATGCCTCACTGCAATATTTGTTCTGGGCTATCTTTCATGCTCTACATGTTTTTTAGAATATGAAATTATATCACATCTCACATTATAGTCCTATTTAAACTGGTAGTATTCTTACCACTTTTATACTTGAGAGAATAAAGTTCATTAGATAAGTGAATACATGAAACAAATTATTCCATTACTTATGAAGTTTCCCATCTACTATTGTAATGACAGAGTGACACGCTTTGCACACAGATCTTTTCTTCACTTCTAACTGTTTCTTTCAAGTGGATTTCTCTTAGTATTTTGTGGAAGGAGTCCAAGGAATGACTTAGGCTAGATTTAGGCTACACAGAGATAGTCTCAAGTTGTCATGACAAATCTTACCACTCTACTCGTGCTGCAGTGAGCCCCTTCCTAAACTCTTACTACCCTTGACTGTTAGCATATTTTGAAGTTTGTTGGTAGAAGGAAACGTGTTCTCTACTGTTCCATAATTATTAGTGTAAAATTTTAAAAATGTTTTACTAGTTTCAATGACAAATTATGTATGTTATGCAATATGAAGTATATGTTGATATTTGTATCTGTTATTTTATTGGATGATAATATTTCAAGGAAATTCATATAGACTTAGTTTTCTTTCCTTCAATACTAAGGATTGAACTTAGGGTCTGCTCATTGAGCTATATTCTTAGCCATTTTTTGCCTCTTAATTTTGAGATGAAATCTTGCTAAGTTGCTGATTTGTACACGCAGGGGTTCAAACTTGCAATCCTCCTGCCTCAGTCTCCCAGAGTCATATACAGGCTTAAGTTTATCAAAAATATTAACAATTTGCCTTTTATTCTGACCTATATTTTCTCAGCTTACTATCATCCTACTGCTTGTTTCTGATGTCAAAATGATTTTAAATTTTAGACAACAAATCATTAAAATGACACTTTTTCTATTTTTGTTTTTTAAAAATACTTAACTATGACATAAAAGTAATAAGAAAAATAATTCTCATACAAAATGAACACATATTTTTGATACTGTACTAAAAGATTGATCTTTAGCTTTATAAAAATCTAGAATTGTTTTTCCTTTTTAGGTATATAAATTGATACCTTTTATTTTTTACTTTTTAAAGAGAATACAAATTAGAATTAAAACAGAAAAAATTATAAGTGATACAAATTTTTACTTAACAAGTAATATGAATTTCATAGTATTTGCTGTAATACATAGTGTTGTCTTCCAACCAGTTATTCATATTACCAGATACGTGTGTGTAAAATTGGAAGAAGAAAGAAAAGCTGTATAAAAAGTTAAAAAGATTAAAAGGAGAAACAATTGAAAAAAGGAGAAGAAACAAATTAAAGCATTAACTCCTTCTTCCCATAAACCAGCAAAAATGGCAAAGTACAGTTGTCAAAACTGTTCTGGGCTATACTTTCTCATATCAAAATTGTTTTTCAATGTATACTTTAATGTAAAAATTTACAATATTTACAAAATATTTCTCTACATAATCTATTAAATTATCTTTAAACAGAACTTCAATATTCCTAAGTAGGAACATAAGACATTTGGGGGGAAGACATGTATATTTAAGTTCATTTAGATGTGTATCTTTGTATGTGTTATTATGTAAATGCATAAAAGTGTATTTTAGTATGTATGTGCTTTCAGAGATCATCTTTGCAGTCATATATGTTATAAAAATGAACATTAGATCCACTTAGACAAAATATAGTCTCAGAGGAAAATGTTAATGTTGTTCATTTGAAAGATAAAAATTAACCAAAACCTCAAAACAAAATATAAAAACAAGCAACTAAGCCAAGTTCTCACAAAAGATTAGGTGAAAATTGACAGGAAGAAAAGTCTAAGTATATTTTGAGCTCAGCCATAAAAGTATTTTTAAAGCAAAATTTTATCACTATAATATGACATTTTCATAGTGATATATGTGTACCTATGTTCATAGCAGCACAATTTGTGATAGCCAAATCTTGGAAACAACCAAAATGCCCATCACATGAGGAATGGTTGAAAAAGATGTGGTATGTTTATACAATGGAGTATTACTCAGCTATAAAGAATGATGAACTTGAAGGCTTTATATTGAAGTGAATGCCACTTGAAGATATACTCATAAGTGAAGTAAACCAGACAAACATGTGTAAATATTGTATAGTCTCCCTAGTATAAGAACTCAAAAGAAGAAATACAAATAGAAAGGTATAACATGGTTAAAAAGAAAGCGAGAACTTGAGGATTGGACCATGGGGAGAGGGCAAGGAAAAAATCTGGGAAACATGACAGGGGCAAAGCCATACATTTATACCCGCAGGGTGGGTAAGGCAATGATCCTGAAAAACAGCAGGTTTTTGAAACTAGCAGTTAATTGGTAGGATTCTTAACCTGACTAACTATATAAGCTGATACCTGTGAATGAAGCAACTGCATTGAAGATAGCAATGTGTAATAGAAGGGTCACACTTGGAATGCGTGTCATTCTGGTCTTCTAATTATGTACTTCTTCTCAAGTCATACCAATTATTACCATACTGTCTCTCAAGTAAATGTTTGTTTGTTTAAAAAAAATAAAGTAAAATTTTAATAGGGCTGGCCAAATAGCTCAGTGGATTAAAGTGTCTGCAAGTAGGCACAGGGGCCAGGAGTTTAATTCCCGGGCCCGCTGTGCAAGCTGGGCCCCTGGGGTACACTGAGACAGCAATTGAGAGTGGGCATGGTGGCTCATGCCTGTAATCCCAGCTCTTGGGAGGCTATAGACAGGCAGATCACTATGAGTCTGATCTAGTAGTGAGACCCTGAACACCCTGTACACCCTTCTCAAAAATACAAATAAATAAATAAATAAATACAATAAAATTTTGCTTACACAGAACTGGAAGTTACAAGGCTTCCCCTTCACTTGCTTTGTGCCAAGCAAGCAGCCCTAATTTCACAGCTTTGTTTTGAAGTACCCAAGTAGTTTTTATTTATATGTACAATTAGTCTTGATATGAGAATTCTATAATGGTTATTCCTTCTGGACTTGTTCCTTTTGAGAACAGATTTTCTAAACATGAGTTTAGTAAAAAAAAAATGGTATTTGTCATATTAAACAAATATAAATACTAAATAAGTATTTAATTACTTTGATTTTCATTTAGCCATACATATTTATTTGGTTTATGCATTTTATCATGGTTGAAAATGTGTGTAAGCTTTATTACTTGAACAAAGTGCAGAAGTGTTTCAAAAACACTTAATGACTTTTCTTCACTGTTTCAATAGGTCACTTTTATTTTTTGGAGGGGCAGAATGATGCTCTGCTGTGTGGCAACAGCTCGGATGCAGGGTAAGCTGTGCCCCATCAGGTCTGAGTCATGCTGCCCCGTCGGTCTCAGTAACCAGCGCCCTCTCACCTACCCAGGCAGTTCACTCCTCATTGAAAACCCTCCACAAATTCCACATCACGCTGCCTCTCAGAATAGCCAGGATAAGTGTGGATTCTCACCTCCTTCACACACTCATACGCAGAAATCATTTTTCCATACTGGGTCACATCTAATCTTCCAAATTAGCTCAACGAAAAATACAAAAGCAGTGCAGGCACATAAGAAGCTTAAGTTAATAGAATTCATGAGCATGGACTTGTAGGAGTGTAACATTTTATTTATGCTAATGTGATCTCCATGGCTTGCAATGTAAAATCTCTCTGAAGAGAATGTCAATATCTGAGGCATGGTGACTATATATCTGGCGTATTTAAACAAAATGCCTGAAAATGCAAAGTATCTTCTGGATAGTTGATGCTACCACATAATGCCACCCTTTATTGCCTTGTTCATATAATAAATGGGTGCTATAATAATAAGGTGATTAAACGGGTAGTTTAGTGAACGCATAGCTATATGAGACTTTTACTTATTATGAGTGACATAAAGAAAAAGCCTATAAAATTTCAGGAATTAGTCACCTTTTCCTCATTAGAAAGGTTTTAGAATCTTGGAAAAAAGTCAAATGTTCTTTTGGTAAAAGAAAAGATTGTGGACATTAGCAAATAATACCAATAGCAAATTTTCAATGATAATAGTTTTTACATTTGGCTCCTATGGTAAAAATTATGTTGCCTTCATTTCCAGATTTCAGAGAGATGAAAACAGACATTTTAAGTCTTGTCTGCACTGTATGAAACGTTATACACACAGTATCTCACTCAATGCCTTCCTACTTCTGAGTTCCGTTACCAGCCCATTCTTACACACCAAGTACCTGAAGAGAACGAATTGGCTGCCTTGCTTAAGGTCATTCAGGCTGGACACGTCAGGCACAACATGGAGGCTAGGCCACGTCGGTCTTTAAGGCCTGTTATGCATTGTGATTCTCTCCCTTCAGGTTTTCCACACTCATTAAGTCCAGCCTCTGCCCTGTCACACCTGCACACAATTCTACTTTCATTTCCCTCCAGGAGACCTATTTGTGCAGTCATTTTCTCAAGCCCACTCAGAAAATGACTGTTTTTTTATGAAGAAGTAGTCAGTGTAACTTGACAATCATGAATCATAGCCACAAGGTCAATGTAACAGATTGTGTTAGGGTATAAAGGAGTCCTCATGCTGCAGGGTTAAAACTAGCTAATGTGAAAGAAATAAGTTTTTCCCAGGGCAGGCATAAAGTATATTGACATCTATGAAAATAGAAGAGCCAGCTAGCAGAGTTGAAGCTACTGTCCTCCTCTCTCCCTGCCTAATTACAGCCAGTGTCCAGAAGGATACATCTGTGTGAAGGCTGGGAGAAACCCTAACTATGGCTACACGAGCTTTGACACCTTCAGCTGGGCTTTCTTGTCCTTATTTCGTCTCATGACTCAGGACTTCTGGGAAAACCTTTATCAATTGGTGAGAACAGACATAAAGATTCTTTTGGGGAGCATGAAGTGTGGCTATTAAAAAAGGCTGCATAATACTTTATTACTCAGAGTGTGAGCTTGTAACAATCTATATAAAGTTGATCAAAATGTCTCTCATTTTTATAGACTTTACGTGCTGCTGGGAAAACCTACATGATATTCTTTGTGCTGGTCATTTTCCTGGGCTCGTTCTATCTAATAAATTTGATCCTGGCTGTGGTGGCCATGGCCTACGAGGAACAGAATCAGGCCACACTGGAAGAGGCTGAGCAGAAAGAGGCCGAATTCCAGCAGATGCTTGAACAGCTGAAAAAGCAGCAGGAAGAAGCTCAGGTATAGTTAACAAGCCCAAGACCTTTTGTTTTATCTCCATTCACTGATTTAACTGTTGAGGTGAGTGGCATGGTAGTTGACATCAGAAAAAGGGTCATTTGTGCATGGTGTTAGGAATGCATTTGATTATTAGGAATTTATAACTATTTTAGTGACTTCTGCCATTCATGTTGGTATTGAAGCATGGAGAATTACAACTGCTTTATTGTCATGTTCCCTTCTCTTGTGACTCACTGAAGAAATTATCTATTAACTCCCTTATTTATTCAAGCTTACAAAGTGGGTAGACGTTTTTGACTGCTCCTGAAGCATTTTCTTTATATTCTGAAGAACAGGGATTCGGTTATGTTTGCTTCTTCATGACACTGTTATTAGCAGTAGGGAAGGGCAAAAACTAGAGTCAGACTGAGAAGATCATTTTATAAGTCTGGAAAGGTAAAGGCCAATCAATATTTTTATCCTGCATATGAAGTATGAAGGTGCAGGTCTGTGTATTATATACAGAAATCCCTAAAGCATTCTTATTCTTTGCCTCTTATTCTAAAAATCCTTTAATTTTGACCTGATGAGCCTACAAAATAAGACAAATATTTCTTTTGGCATTAAACCAATCCAATGTCCTATTTTTTGTCTTTTTCCAGAGTATTGAATGTAGTGCTGTTCTGTCATGCATTATCCTTAATTATGTAATAATGAACAAAAATATACATTGAGGTAGTAGCAACATAATGCTTAATTTTTAAAAGATTGTACTATTATAATTTATAAAACCCTGTAGATACCATGAACCAGAAATGTCTGACACATAATCTGTAAAGTGTCTTTTTGTGCTTTTTCAGTTATATGCTCAATACATCAAAAAGAAAAATATTTATTAAAATATCTGACTGCGTGAAGTTCCATAATTCAACCTAGCACTGAATGGCAGTGAAAGTGTGGTGTGGGGGCAATGTCAGTCACCTTTATAGAGGATAACTTTAATTCTGAATTCTTTCCTAAAAATATTGCTGAAGTCATAGAAAATGTTCTGATAGTTGGGTATCTCGATCATGGTACTACCTAACTAGAACACAGCTGTGAAGCTAGAGCTTGAAACCTTTTGTCATTCACAAGGATCATCGTCTTCTATTTGTATGTTAATTTTTCCATGATCACTACGGTGAAAATATATCATTTTTCCAAAATATGGAAGAAAATTAAAAATTGATTGTCAAGATTATTTTTATTAACCGAAGGATAACTGAGTTGGTAGCACGGATAAGTTGTTGACATTTCCACATAACGACCATTTATTCTGGAACTTTCTAGGCAGCAGCGGCAGCAGCATCTGCCGAATCCAGAGATTTCAGCGGCGCTGGTGGGATTGGAGTTTTCTCTGAAAGTTCTTCAGTCGCATCCAAGTTGAGCTCCAAGAGTGAAAAAGAGCTGAAAAACAGGAGAAAGAAAAAGAAACAGAAAGAACAGTCTGGCGAAGAAGAAAAGGAAGATGTAGTCCCAAAATCTGAATCTGAAGACAGCATTAGAAGAAAAGGCTTCCGCTTTTCCTTAGAAGGCAGCAGGCTTACATATGAAAAGAGATTTTCTTCTCCACATCAGGTAAAAACAAACAACAAACAAACAAACAAACAAACCTTAGATTTGGCAAAGTGCATCTTTACAACAAGAATTTTTAAAATAATATGCTAGAATTTGGTGTCAATAAAGCTGTGCCACCTGGATGGTACGATGCTTTCAGAGTGACAACCATTCAGTGTTTGCGCCACAACCTCAGAGATTTTGTGGATTATACAACATTTTGAAATCCCAGGGAGGAATTTTCAGATGGTACTGTGCTCAGAAAGGTTTGTGGGTTTGAGGTTTTGTAGAGACTTAAGCATTCCTGGGCAGTTTTCCACATGAGGAATGATCAGCAGCAGATGGTCCCCATCCTTTCTTAGCTGTAAGCCTGGATGTATAACTGGGTTTTCTGGATGGCAGGTGCTCAGGCATGGGCCATGGAGACTTTCAGGCCATATGTGCAGTTGTTCCCACCCATGAGCAAACTTTACATGCACAATGCATTCTTCATGCCCCTACTCTTCTAAACATGTGACCAAGATTGTTAGGTGGACATGCACTGTGGAGGACTAGGACACCAAACAGGCAGTGATGCTTAATTACATGTGGCATTTTGTGCTTGTTCATTTTCTGTTGAACATGAGACTTAGATTCAAAAATATGCTTCTGAGATGGAGGGAGGTAAGAAAGGAGGGAGGGAGAGAGACAGAGAGAGAGAGAGAGAGACAGACAGACATCGTACCATTATTATTATTATTATTATTATTATTATTATTTATTTTTTGTGGTGCTGGGTATCAAACTCAGGATCTTGCGCATGCCACTCAGGTGCTTGTGCCACTGAGCTGTCTCTCCAGCCCCCGTCATACTTTGAAATCCTAGAAGAAATACTGAACATATCAAATCAAGTAGAGTTACTTAATCAAATAAAGGGATAGACAGACCATAAGTTTGGTTAGTGTTAGGTACAAACCCAATTTGAGCAGTTGAGCAGAGCAGGCATTCTGATGGGAGAAGAAGACTTACTGGAGGTAAAAGCAAGCAGGCCAGCTGTCTAGTGGATGGACACAGCCCAAATCAAAAGGGGACAGGGGATTTTATGGGGCTTTTCGGGGAGGATGTTTGCAGGCTGGAACAACAGAGGGAGAGGGCTAATCTTGGCAGGGCTACCTGGTCTGCTGGGGACTGTTAAATGTTAACAAAGGAGAGTTTCTGTGGTTCTGTCCTGGCTTGTGTTCAAGATACAAATTTGGCCAGAATAGTTTCCTCCAGCTTGGGCCCAAAAGCCTTGGAGTGAGGGTGAGTGTCCTGACTTACCAGTTAGATTTTTCAAAGCTTAGACTAAAACATATTAAGATCTATTATTTTGTAGTGACACTGTAGAAAGTAGATTGTATTCATAACTCTTCCTACTTTCATACTAAAAATATCTAATGTAGGCTATTATTGGAAAATTAGAATTTTTTGAGGAGAGCAGGTAGAAATACAAAGTATGTGTTAGATTTCCCATGATATGTAAGTGTGAGAGAGAAGAGAGAAGAAAGTCATTAGTGCACCCTTTAATTGTCTTAAAACAAGATAAATGTTTTATTTGGAAGATAAGATATAGGGCTGGGGAGATAGCTCAGTGGCATAAGCACCTGCCTGGCAAGTGCACTGAACCTTGAGAAATACTGTGTGCAGTTTTGTAACTTATTTTCTTCCAACATGCCAATGAAAATGGAGTGCTTGTAGTGAAATTTTTACCAAAGTGATACCTAAGAAATGCATCTTCTTTACTTTTTATTACCAATAATTTCTCCTTATACTTCTTTAGATTTGTTCATGACCAGTAGGTCATAAATCCTTAATCTCGCCACTATAATGTCATCATAGCTAATCCAAAGTCCCTTGCAAAAACAGAGAGACATGAAAGAAATAGTCTGGCCAATACTTTTAAAAAACTCTATATAGAAAGCAATAAAAGAAAGGAATGAATCTTAGCAATGAAAATGATAACTTGATGATAAAAACAGAAGCAAGAAATTCTTTTGATGGAGCAGACTTACAGGTAGGTTTCCTTCCGTATGTGATGAATAAGATCATGCAGAAGGTCTAACAGCTGTATATGTCATTGAGGAAAAATTCACTATCTGAAAAGACAACTGGAAATATATTTGTTGAGAAGTAAATGTAAAAATTATAATCATTGTGAATTAATCATCTTAATAGAATAATTCATACTTAATTGGTGTAGAATTCTTTGGAGATGAAAAGAGCAAACCAATCATATCTAATGATGAAATTAATATCCTACTATTGATAATCATAGAGCTGAAGATGGCCTATGCAAAGACAGAAGTATTAAATCAGATAAATAATGCCCGCAAGTAGCATTAGGTGTATGTCTCTATCCCAGGGCTGAACACATTAACATTATCATGACCAACTTTTTCTCCATATCTCAGTCCAGTTGCTTTCCATATGGTGGCAAGATGTCCACCAATGCTCCAAATTCATATCTAATATTTTTGGCAAGCCCAATTGAAGAGGCACCTCCTTCCTCTCAGTTATAAAAGCAAGGGGTAATTCTCAGTGGACTCAGGAGGTCCTGTGCCCTTCTTTAAACCACTAGATAGGCTAGGATTTTGAAATACTTTGATTGATATTGTCCCACTGGATTTAACGTCTCCCAAATTAAGTTATCTGAGAGAACCCAACAACAAGTAGAGTTCTGTCCGCAGTAGAGTTTACAAGTAAGGTTACCCAAGTAGCCCAGTAACATACAAGAAGCAAGTCCTTCTGCTAGGGGCTGCTGCAGCTGGTGAACAAGGGAAACTGCCCAGTGTCTATGGCATGTGTACTCTTTAGTTCACTGGTTTTTTAGTGATTATAATTTCATTCTTAGAGAAGACCAGAGTTTTTTTAAAATTTACTTAATGTATAATTTATTGAAAAAGCTATATTATAGCTAATATATGTAAAATTATGACACATATACTATATAATATAAATAACATACAGAAGTGAGAGATCATATGAGCTAAGGAACATTTCTGTTTTACAGTAAGTATGCAAAGTGTAGTAGTATATTTAATGTTTTTCTCCCTCCTGTTATTAAATGATATAACTTAATATTATAAATACAATACATATTCTGAAAAATAAGTTCAATAAATGTATTATATTTTGAACACAGATAATGTGAAGCTTAAAACAATGTGACTTAACTTTTTTCCCTTATATATTTCTATTAATACATTGGAATTTTAAATTTTAATAATTAAATTCTTCTTTTTTACTTATTATTAATCATATGAAATCACATTTTATTTAAAGCTTTGTTGTCTCTGTACCTTGACAAATTTCATGTACAGTTTTCTTCACGATGGAATTTTTTTCCATAATTTTATTGATAAACAAATAGCAATGAGACAGTTTCAAATCAAATTGGTAGGACAGTTTCAAAAATTAACACATTGCATACATTCCTCCCAGTGGTTAATTGCTGTACAAGATACAGACATGATATCCTATCTACAAATACTATTAGAACAAATCACTCTATTCTTTAAGAGAATGTAACTATATATCTACCCTAACCATTTTGAACACAGATACAAAACGGACATTCATCTGTATACCCTTTTTTTGTTAAGCTTCTTTATTTGAATATTATAGGTGTGTTAACTCAGCAAAATAATCTAAAAGAGTCCAATAGCCCATAATAGTATTGGGTCTTTCGCTTGACTGGCAATGTGAGAAATTGTTGACCTGAGTCCCCTATAGCTCAACATAACAGCATGACTTTCCTTCTTATATTTCTTTTTTATACTTTTCTGCTGGGTGGTTAAGACCAAGGTAAAACAGGACCTATGCAACAAGAGTTGTAGCTTTTGGGTCTGATAAGGTCAGTGAAATCCCCTCAGGATTTATCCTGAGATCCTGTACTTCAGATTGTTTGTCAGTGTCAACCATGTGGATGAGTCACGGCCATTGCTTGGCCAATGTGCTCTCTGTGAAAGCCTGAGAAAATGTTTTCTCTCCATGTGACTCTCCTTAGGCACACTCTACATCATCGATCACTTTTCTCTTTGGCCCCATAATCTCCTTGATCAGAAAATTTAGAACACTGCCGAGTTACATGACGTTACAGTACAAGTTCTCATATGTCCTGAGTCTTAATTGATCTTGGAAGGCGAGGGCCAAAATGTTGGCTTTCTTTGCAGCCCTCCTTTTCATCTAATTTTGATCTGCAAACTTAAGTTGTTAACCATCCAGAAGACAAGCTTATTGTTATTACCATACAACTTAGGCTGTTAAGCTTACCCTCACTCTATCTGTATACCAAACATCTTAGGCATAATATGGAACAGGTATTTTTCATCAAGTATTGATATGTTGAACTTTAAGTCCCTACAGAATATGATAAAAAACAATTAAAAATTAGAATATATTTTAAAAATAGGCATAAAGCATTATGTACTTCTTATGTTTACACATAAGTCCAAAAGTTTCACCATATACAGCCTTGAAGCAGGACAGTCCCACAATAGAAGACCAGAGTTTTGTAAACATGTGTTCCTCAGAAATTTTGAGATGGAAAGGTAAAAATGAAGCAGTGAATCATATAGTTGTTTCAACTTGGTTTGTTTAGTTAGTTCATGAAGGCCACTATAAAATATGTAAAAAGAGGAGAGGCTGCTCTTTTTCTTATAATTAAACAAATATGCCAGGAAGTCACTTTTTATTTTCCTCTATGGGTAGATCTGCATCAGGGGGTGGTCACTTGTGAGTTCTCAGTGAAAATAGTTCTGGTTTCAAAGGATATAAATGTAGGTGTGTATTCAATAGCTTCCTACTGGATTGCTAAGTGAAAATAGTTTCTAGACATGGCCATAGCAAAAAATGCAGCTTTTGGAGTCAGTGATAAGACAAAACAGGACTATAAAGCAGTACTATGGAAGTACTTCTGACTACATGCAGGCAAAGGTAAAGTAGAAGAAAATGGGAGAACAGATGAAAAAAACACAGTGAGGAAAAAAAGAGCAAAACAGAACAGGTGAACCTAGTGAGTGTCAGACATAACCAGAGGTTACTGATCATCAGTGCCGTTGGTGCCAATGGCCCCAAATGCACGCTTGGACAAGTCAGCAGCCCGAGCAGGAGGCCCGGGAGCCTTCGCAGGGCGCCAGCTTCTCATGCAGCCCACCCGTTTTCACCCCTTTCCTGTCCCTCGCAGTCGCTGCTGAGCATCCGGGGCTCCCTTTTTTCTCCACGGCGCAACAGTAGGGCGAGCCTTTTCAGCTTCCGAGGTCGAGCAAAGGACATAGGCTCAGAGAATGACTTCGCGGATGACGAGCACAGCACCTTCGAGGACAATGACAGCAGAAGGGACTCTCTGTTCGTGCCGCACAGACACGGAGAGCGGCGCCACAGCAACGTGAGCCAAGCCAGCCGCGCCTCCAGGGTGCTCCCGATTCTGCCGATGAACGGGAAGATGCACAGCGCCGTGGACTGCAACGGCGTGGTCTCGCTGGTTGGTGGCCCATCCGGCCTCACCTCGCCAGCCGGGCAGCTGCTGCCGGAGGTGAGCTCCTGAGCCTGCAGCCCACGGGAGGGGCTGCTGCAGGCCACGGGGTTGCCATTGGATAGCAACATAACAGGCTTGTCCAGAGCCTGTTCTTTAAAGGCCAGGGGCCGGGTTTATAAATGCATGAGCTGCTCCTCCCAAATTGTTCTACATTCTAGTCTACAAGTTAATTTAAATATGAGATAGGTCTCATAGAATCGTATTCCATCATCACTGTCACACAGTCTGAAGGGTGCAAAACAGAAAGGTAACAATATATGAAACATAAATTTCATTCATATGCTTAATTAAATATAAGTAAATTAATGCACATAAAATATAGAAATGTTCATCGTAGTGAATTCCTGTTACTATTCCTGTACGACATCCATGTCTAATGTTTTGTCTTACCTGGGCCCCCTGAGTGAAGACTTGTCTGGATCACATATGAAATATGTAATATGCAACATATTACATATGTGTAACATAAATATGTAATATACAATATGGCTTATACATATGTGTAGCAAAACTTCCCTTTAAAAATATGTTCACTTATGAAATTAATTTAAGAAACAATACAAGCCCTAGTTTAACAACTAAGAAAAGTTACACATCTGTTTAATAAAAACAATTACACATTTGTTTAATTTGTCTACACCCACCTAGACAAATCACTCAGGGGCAGGCGATGTCTCACACACGTAGCCTTGGATTGGACTGTGTGACAGGCACAGGAAGTAGAGCTAGCACTGGCCCAGGCCTTCCCTAAGCAGCCTTCTGTTGCTTCTGATGCACTGCATGCTTGATGGCCATGCAACTGAGTCATCAAGATTTTCAGAAGTACCCTGAAAATCAAAAATAGTGTGACTAGTATAAGACCTTGTTGGGCTGCATTACAAGCTGTCCAGGGCTGTGGGCTGGACTTGGCTATTTTAAATGAGAACGTGAAGCTTATGCTTCTCGTAGATGCTATTACCACATGTATTTCTGTTCCATAGTGCAATATTCTCTTTCTCTGCAAGTTGTAGTGTTGTTAACACTTGCTCCAATGACCCCAGTACTGGAAATTTTTGTAGCAAGGAAATTACCCCAAATTACCTAGTAGAGTCATGTGTTGTCATTTTTACAGTGGATTTCCACTTTTATATTACTCTCAGGAATTCTTTTTTGTAAACAAACTGACTCCAAGTCAGTACATGGAAAAAGGTTTCAAATGAACAAATACTTCCCATTGTGTTGTGTTTGTGACTTTTCTTAGTAAGATGTTCTTTACACTGGGACTAAGTGAAATTTTAGGAGCTGAGGAGATGGCTCAGTAGAATAAACGCTTCCCTGGCAAGCACAAGGGTCTGAGTTCAATCCCTGGATCTGCAAAATAAATAAATAAATAAGAAAAAAGAAATTTTATTTGCTGGTATAAAATATTCTAGCAATCAGAGCTCAGAATTTTATAGATTTCTGAGTCACATTAAGTGTTTTCACATTTCTTTTCAAAACTCTACTTATTACAGTTAAGACAAGTTACTTAAGGCCACATTAAAATGATAGGGAGTTAGATTTCAGTTGTTTCACATAGGAGTCATGTGCCTTTGATTATAAAAATAGACACTGCTTATTGACTTAAAAAATTATTTATTTATTTATTTATTTATTTATTTATTTATTTGGTACAGGGTCTCCCTACACAGCACAGACTCACAGTGAATCTCCTGTCTCAGCCTCCCAAGTGCTGGGATTACAGGCATGCACCACCATGCCTGGTTACGGTGGCTGGCATGGTTTCCCAGGGTTCCAGAACCAGCACTACATGCAGTACCAGGGATAGAACTCAGGTCCTGGCACTTGCCAGGCAAGTGCTTAGACCACTGTGTTATCTTCCCAGTGCCTTCCTGACTTTTCTTCATGGCTTCTCCCACCTTTGCTTTCAGAGACGTGTCCAGGTATCCTGCAGTAAGAAAAAAACATGAAAACTGTAGAACTTTATAATACATGAGCCAAGAAAAATAAAGAGAAAATGTCCACTTAAAAAAAAAATACCGCAAAAAAAAAAAAAAAAAAAAAAAAAAA